AGAAAAGCCCCAAATAAATAAATTGCAAAAATGAAAAATACATTTCCTCCCATAGTCTCATTAGCTATCGGAAATATAAATGCGACTAAGAAACTGGCTGTCCAATTCATTGCTAATCCGAGACTTGCAGCGGTAGCGGCGGCTTTAGTATCAAAAATTTCTGGAATTATTAAAAATGGAATTGGACCAAGACCTATTGCAAATGCAGCTACAAATCCAATAATTGAAATAGCTGAGAGCAATCCATAACTACCATCAATGCTCAAAGCTAAAATTGCACTACTAAGACTCATAAATATAATCGAACATAGTAATAATGTTCTGCGTCCAGATTTATCAATTAAATAGGCCGAGACGACTGTCATGAACACGTTCACCATACTTATAAAAACAGTGACCAAATCGCTCATAGTTGGAAGTATCGTAGATAAAATGGATGTCGAATAAAACATTACTCCGTTTATTCCAGATAATTGTTGCGTAAGTTGTACAAGTATTAAAACTTTTATTGCTGGCAGATATCGAGGGTTGGTTAAAAGCTTCCATACACCAAAGTTTTCATCCGAATTACGCGCGTGGAATACTACCGCAGGTGACTCTCTAATTATTTCTTCGTCATTATTCTCAGATTGTTGTACACTCTCTTCTTCTGATATGAGACCTTCTAATCCTTCTTCTGTTGCGACTTGCCGCCATCCACTAAGTTCATCATCTACTTCTGCGCTGCCCCTTAATTTTTGTAAAACTCGCTTAGCCACACTGTAGCCACCGGGTTTAGCCGCAAGGAAACGAGGTGATTCGACGGAAAAGAATAAGAAAGTTGTTTGAACAAGGGATAATATAAAGCCACTAAGAAGAATTAGACGCCAACCCGGAACGGTGGAAAGATAAAGACCTTCAACCTGGGAAAACAATATACCGCAAACAACCCCCAATTGATTCATTACGCCTAGTAATGTTAATGATACCCATTATTAAATTATTATTATTAAACATCTTCATAATTGTTATAATGATTAATATACCAAAAATCCCACGAGACTCTACGGGTGATATTTCCGCGAGATATTGGGAACAACCACTGTTACCTTTATATCAAATAAAAAATACTTTTGCTAGATGAACCACTTAATTTTTATAATAAAATTTATAAAAAGAAAAATTACCACGCCTGAGTCAATACCGGCAAGAATCCTTCCTATAATCAAGTGAGATATTTGATGCAAATCCCATAATTAATGGTCCAGAACCAAAATATACTGTTCAAAAGTAAAGTTTGTCGTCTTCCTTTGCTGTCCGCGACGCGTGAAGCAAACATAGAACCAAGAAGACCTCCCAAAGTAAATTCGGAAGTTACAAAAGCAATTTGGGTCGCATTCATCTTTATGCAAGGTGGAGGAAACTTGTAACCATCTTGAAAAGCAGGAATTTCAGTTTTTTTTGCACAGGACATTATACTTTGAGGAGTGTTTAATTCGCCAATCTATGAAAAAATAATATTGCTTAAAATGTATTATGTTTGCATACTGTAAATAGAAGAATAAAGAAGAATTTATTACATGATAAACCATATTGAAAAGAGCCTAGAACAGCTGCAAAAGAAACAAAAATAACATATGAAGTGAGCCCTGATATTTTGAACTGCCAGAGAAAATGAGGAGTAACGGTCTCTCATTTCGATTGGTAAATTATTGAAATTAATCATCTGACTTTGAATAGCCACGAAATCGGCTTGTATATATAACGATAAGAAAAAAAAACAAGAAAGGTTGCCTATTAGGGGTATTTTATTACTAGTAATCTAACAATTAACTTGCATCTTATTAAATAAAGTTCTATATTTGAGCACTTTCGCAGATTTAAAGTTTAGAACCGGGTTTATTTTTCTTATGATAAAGCCGAGTTTAATTGATTTTTAAAGCAAGACAAATAAAAACCGGTTCCAAACTCTATCTTATTATCTGGTAAGAATATGATCTATTCGATTATTTCTTTGAAAATCGAAGTTCTTAAATATATTTTACTTTATTTGGACTGTATTTTCTATAATTTATAAACTTACGGTATATAGGAAAGATACGGAATAATTTTGCACCGAATTTCTTTTTAATATAAATCTTCGAATAAAATTTAAAGTTTATTTTAATTATGAAATTTTACTCGTTTTCAATATAATTCTAGCTAAAATATATATTAGAACTGGAATAACAAAAGCTGTGACAAAAAAAAACGACTTTTTTTGATCTAAATTGTTGAAATCGAATAAATTCATATATTTACAATTTTTTTTTTATTTGGAACAGATAATATATTCTTAACGATAACTTTATTTTATTAAAAAATTTTTGACAAACTTTACAATTAAACATTCTATAATATAATTTCCCAATAACTATTATTAAATAATTCTCGAGACATTTAGTTTCGGAGATTAATTCTCCTACTTATCCCAACCACCACGTAAAGGTATGTCTCTTGGTTGAGAAGGCGAACCCCAACCCCTGTTCCTTCTACCGGTACTAGTCATGGTACGGTTCCCGGTTTCCAGAATAGGTTGTGCCTAGAATCATCAATACCGAAGTATTTCATCATGGCTTTTGCTCAAGTTATCCTCTAGAGCTCGAGGTTATGATGATTGTAAATGAGAAGAAAAAAGAGGTCCTTATATAGGGTTTTTGCCTTGAAAATGACCTTATGGGATATGGTTTTTTTTTTTTATTATCGATATGTTATTAATTACATATAAAAAACGAGAGTTTTTTTCTACGCAGTATCAGTTGATAACGTGAATTAAGGTAAAAAAAAACGTGTATGC